ATACATATATCTATACATTCAACAAGTATTGAAACCCATTTATCACAAGTCGCACAATATCGAATCATGAACCATTTCGAACGGCTAAAATATCTAAGGCAAAACATTTAGTTTGTACACACAATGCAGACCTCCAAGTGTTGAGCATTAATAAAAAAATGATCTTGCAATAAAAACGCATTCCATTCATGCAAATATCTAGTCTCTAAAATTATAGTAATAAAAGTTCAATTATCGATACAAAAATACTACAAAAATGGTAGAATATCAATCAAAAGACTGGATTTGTCCAGTTTGTAAAACTCATGAAAGATGACTAAAAACTTCTGGGATCTTGACCGGTTGATCTCATAGTAAATGCATTTACAACGATGTGTCGCGACTTCAATCACCGACGATCGAGTTCTTTTTACTTGCTAATAATTAGATACTAAGATTTGCGTCGAGCAACTCGTCCTTAAGAGGCTGAACCTGCACCGTGACAGAGTTTTCGAAAAAACCACTCGATACCAATCGCACAGAGGTGACACTATACTCGACCAGTTCTTGATAATCTAATAAATTAAAAAAACAGATCGTCACAGTTAAATTAGTCTGATCAAGATTTAATGGTAAATAAATTAAGAATGTATACGTATAGTTTCTATGATATTGAACACTAGGAGTTATTAATCGTATTACCTGGTTTAGAGTCTATTCCACAAATAGAATCAACTATCTGAACTTTGGACGTATCTAAGCCGAAACTGCCTCCAATTACCACTTGATCATGAGGACTGGTTTCATCACACTGAAAATTGAAGTTTAACATTGAAAAATAAAGTACAAATAACTATATTCATATACTACCAAGAATTTACTAAAGTATTTAAAGAGAAATTTACTACATCCATTATACTGAATATAGTTTTTGTATTTACTATAATTACTAAGTTTACTATATTCGCTATATTTTGATATAACTACTACATGTATGCGTTTATCGAAGTTGTCCAAATCAAGGTGCAATTTTTACATTTTAACTCTGGTAACTATATTATTATACTATATTAAATGGTTAAACGTTATTTTCAACTCTGATCTTTGCGATAAATAGTCAAGCTTCAATTACTGTACAGTCAGAAAGGCAAATTGGTCGAGGTAATATGGACGTAATAAAATTTAGTCGAGCGTACGAGCTTGGAAAAATTACGAACTTTTCGCAAAGTTCCGGTTTCAGTGGTACGAACGGAACCGAGGAAATTCGAGACTCCAACGCCAAGCGCGATCACTTGTACCGTGCCTGAATAGAGCGCAACATAGGTGCAATTTACGCGTCGGCCATAATTGCGTAGCGTGTAAGGTTCACCTATGCTTGCTGCCAAAACGTTGCAAGCTGGAAAATTACAGAAAAAGAAATTTGAAGAATTATTTGAAGTAATATGTAACATTGATAATAAAAATGTAAATTAGTAATACAATAATATTCTTCTGTATAACATTACATATTTTATTAACTTTTAATA